GGCCGGAGGGACGCGCTGGCCGGCGCTTTAGTCCGGTCTGAAGACTGGAGTTCGGGTAGGAGACGCCAGGTGCAGATTCTGAAGGCAGGTCCGGGGAACGTGCCCATTATTTGCGGTTCATTCGCGCACACAAGAGCTGGGGCGCAGGCCAGAGGTGACGGGGTGAGCAGGCGCCCCGGACAGTGGGGCGCAGAGCAGGCGGGTCCCCTGAAACCCACTGTGGGGGCGGGGGGGTACTGCCACGGGGTTGCCCCTGAGCCTGTCTTGCCCCGCGGCCAGCTGCACGGCAGACCCGGAAGCGGAGTTCCTCGGGTGGCGCTGCGGCGTTAGACGGCCACCGGGAGACCCAGCCGCTTGGACTTGGAGCTGCAAAACTTCCCATTGTTGGGACAGAGACTTGGAAGATGCCCTCACTGTGTGGCCCTGACTTGGTGCTTCATAAACCAGGACTGAGCTGGTTGGTTCTTGGAGGCACAGTACGGTAGGGACCCCTGGAGGGGCCGGCCTGGCGGCTCTCAGCACCCAGAAAGCCAGCGCCAGTGACTGGCGCCTGACTTGTAGATTGAGCCATACAGCAGCCCTCCCAGCGGTACAGAGTCAGGCGGCTCCTCCAGCTTTGCTCCTCCAGGCCAGTGAAAGCGTCAGCTTCTCCGCTGACCCCTCGCTTCTCCCCCTCCCCTGGGGCTGGCTTCCACCATGGACACTGCGGCCTGTTCTTCACGCGCCTTCCTGGACTTTCACTGGCTGGAATCCTTAAGGGGCGCATTGCATCGGTTTAGGACGGGAACCAAAACTGGCCTACAGTTTTGATTCACTCTTTAAGTGAGCATGAGAAGTATTTCCCCAGAGACTTCTGAAAGCACCTCAGGCCACCACTCCCCCTCACTGTGCAGCCTGCGGCCTTGGAAGCTGCAGGGTGGGCTGGCTGCAGGCCACAGCCAGAAGTGCCTTCAGGTTGGGATTATACTGTGGACGCTGGAAGCACTGGGAACTGTGTTCTCCTCTCAGGCAAACTGGCCAGACTTCCAGCCCCTCTGTGCTCCCCTACTGAAGGGAGATTTCTAAGTCATTCTCAGGAAGGAATGACATAGAAGGAACACTTGGCACTGCCAGGGAGAGAGGAGGAACCTGTGTCGGTGAATGTCATACAGGGGCCACATTTCTTGGCTTAGCACCTTCTGAAACCTGGTTCTTGGGGGGCGGGAGTGTGGAGGACCGCGTTGAGGTCTCCCTCACCGGCAAGGGAAGAGCTGCTGTTGGGCGGCACAGCCATCTGCACACCCTGGGTACAACTGTGAGGGCAGTTTCTCAGGTGGCATTATGAGCAAAACCCCAGCACTTTGGATTTAGCTTATTTCTTAATTGAGCGGGGGAACAAAGGTAAAATCTGAGTACACTGGCTTTCAAAAATGACAAAAACTGGCGCGCTGGGTACCAGAACAACACGAGATCCAGGTGTCGGGCAGTCCAGACAAGAGGCTTCAGGGCTTCCTCACTGCGGGCCCTTTCCAATGACGGGCTGGAACTCGCACTGCAGCAGCTGCGGGTAGCTCCACAGGGCTGAGGCCCAGCCCCTGACCCACCAGGGAGGCCCTGGTCTGTTTCTAATGTGATGCCTGGTGCTTAACTGACGTGTCCGGGAGCCGTGACCCCACGGCCGTAGTCAGGAGCAGTTTTTCCCCATGTGAGTATGTGGGGAAGGGATTAGATTGCCACGAAAATGGCATTTGTCCTCAGTAAACATAGAGGTTAAAAACTAATGTACAAACAGAGCTTAATTCCTTGAGTTTAGAATTTGTGCTGGGCGGATAGTTGCCTCACTCAAATTGCAGCCAATTTGCAAGTTACTGTTGTCCTAATTTCCTGGATTCATGGGGGTTAGTGGAGGGTGCTGCTGTCTCAGTTGTGGTCCCAACCCCAAGGAGGGCTCAGAATTGCTAACCATGGAAGCCCACGGTGGGGCTTTAGTTGGCCAAGACCTAGACTTCGGGTTCCCGCACAGCAGAGCAGTGGCTTTAGCAGGTGGATGATGGCCTCATGTAAGAAACACGCCCCTCTGGAGTGCGGCAGAACCATAACTCTCAATTTACTAGAAATTCAAAAGCCAGTGGCTGTCCTGTGCATATCTGTCTAGGAAGTGAGTTTGTTCAGAAAATGGAGGAGGAAATGGGACGATCTGCTACCAACACATGAACAAAGAAGGAACCAAAACAAAACGAGGCCCATGCCGCTGGCGGGAGACCTCGGAGCAAGAGCGAGATGCACAGGGGAAACAGGAGCCTAGTGGATCTCTAAAGCTTTCAAAGGCAACTCACAAAAAGGGGGAAGCTTTTTGGTTACTACCCTGTCAGACTGGTAACTGGACCCCGAGGAAATGTAACGGGGTAGAGACGAGAGTTCTGAGAACACATTGGCTTGTTCCTGACCTGACACCCCCACACGCGCTCTTCAAGAGCACAGATTCAGTGAACTGTTGGGAAAATGTTCTCTTAAATAGATCCCTAATTGCTTTCATAGATTGTGCTGCTTGAAATTAGGACTATTATGTCAAGTTGCAACAGAAAATTTGAACAGATCTGAGGGGGGGAAAGATTGGTGTAGGACACTCAAGTATTACGAGGGGAAGATCAAGGTGACATCTGCTTGGTAGGGATGCAGGGATGTGCCTGCTCCTGGGGCACCGGGAGGAAAATGCGTGAAGCTGGAACTCAGAGGGAATGTGCGAGAGCGAGAAACAAGAGAGATGGGAGGGGTGCGAGCCCTGGAGGCTTCACTTTCCATGTGGCCTCTTCAACTTGGGGGTCAGGGAGGACAAAAGCAGTGTGCAGCTGTTTTTGACAGACCGTGCACGGTCTTTCTCCAGATTGGAGATTTCACACAAGAAAACGGCAGAAAGACAAAGAGTGGAAAAACGAAGGTTCCAAATTCCAATCCAACTGCCAGGCCAGCGTGTGGTAAAGGGAAGAGGCTCTCTCAGGAGTCATCAGCCCTGGCTTGCTGAGGGGAGCAGGCGTGAACACTCCAGCAGGCCTGTCCCGCTGTACCTGGCGGCATGGGGCCACAGGCTGCCAGTGGGGACAAGGGTGCTCAGATTGTTGTGCTCAGATTGTTGTGGTGCTTTGGTGCTCAGATTGTTGTGCCCTAAGCCAGTTACGTGGGCTCTCTGGTAGGGGACCCGGGCCCCGTAGTTCGGGCTCCCGGGGTGACTCCAACCGCTGTCCTGAGGGCTATGTCAGCCCAGGCACTTCTCAGCTTGAGGCAGTGACAGTGCCGTCGTCGAGCCACAGGACTAAAAATACCTGCTCCGGGGAGGCTGGGGTGGAGCTGCTAACAACGTCACCTTCATGTCAGCAGTGCTGGGTGCCAGGAAACCAGGACTTAAAGTAGAGGAAACTGTTGGACTCCGCTGAGAGGCTTCAGAGGAAGCTCGTGGCCGGAGAAGGCGCCGTTTCAAATTTGGACCTTGCAGAGCAGCTGGAGCATGTCCGTCCCAGCCCCGCCGTTGGCGGCGCTTAGGTGGCTTCCCTGTCAGTGCGAGGCCAGCTGCCCTCGCTGGGACGCATTCTCTCGGAGGCTGGAACCTGGAATCTCCAGTGTCTTCTCTCTCTCTGCTATGGTCTTGAGCTTAGTTGTACTAAAGTTAGGCTATAGCAACACTGGCGGCTGGCCGGGGTGTGTGTGATTTTTATCTTACAGAGAAGAAAAAAGAAGCCGGGAGTGTTCTATTTTTTTCCCTTCTGGGGAGTGCAGAAATTCCCTCCACTTTACAGAAATAGGAGAAATCGAATGAGAGTGCTGTCCTCCAACACTGCTGTCTACCTAGAGATTCTGCCTGTGTCCCCAAAATAAACACCAGAGCTGTGGACATTTTCAGCCCAGAACTGGGATGATCACTCATTAACATCACTTGAAAATGTGTGCTCTTGCCAGGGTGCGGCCCACCTCGCTAGCACGCTGGGTGGGCAGTTGTGTTTAAAAGGGTGTTAGGAGTCCGCCAGGTCAGACTCTTTCGTTTGCTTTTTCATCAAGACACAATTTGATCTTTCTGGCAGCACACAAAATTTAAAGGATGTTACACTGCCTTTTAAGAGGTAAAATAAACTTTTGTACAGTTATTTACTTACCAGTCGTGACAGGAACTATATGCTGTTGAAGAAAGTTCTGTCAAGAGCTGTGTGTTTAGTAGTGAGGTCAGCAGGAAGCAGAGACTCAGAAACATCACTTCTTTATAAACTCCTGGAAGGAAGGGGGGAAAACGCTTATCCCAGTGACCCTTTCTGTAGCGGAGGTATTCTCCCCCGATTTTGTTGTGCTGGTCTCCCCCCCCCCCCAATTTGTGCAAATTGAATTTTTAAAAACCTCTTCAGTTGTTTTCGGAGAGCTCACTGACTGAGTCCTACACTGAAAGAACATTCTAAACACACAGTAAATCTGGCTTTTCATGCTTTCAAGCCATGGCTCTGGAGCTTGAGGTCTGTACTGAAAGTTGCAGGTCATTGGTAACAACTTCCATGGGCATTGCTATTTCTGGAGAGTGACCGCTTGTCAAGCCTTGTAATACTTCAGTCAGGGACCCTGCCCACTACTTAAGACTGAACCTAGTGATGTAGTTTCTTACTGCTTCACCTTCTCCCCGCCCCCCACACTTAATATAGCTTGTCGTTCCTGGGCAGTAGCACTGTCCTGTTGCCTTCCAGGTGGCCTCTTAAGGCCATTACGTTGTTTTTTTTTGTTTTTTTTTGTTTTTAAGATTTATTTATTTGTGCATACAGAACTGGGGTACAGGCCAGAGACTCAGGGGTGGCGAAAGACTTCACCAGATACAGAGTGGGGAGCAGAACAGGCAGATCAACGAAGTACACTGCTGAGGGGAGCAGCGGGCGGGTCAGGAGAGGTCTGCCACACCATGTGGTCACCTCCGGGGCAGGTGGGAATAGAACTCATGCGGAAGTGGTTTCAGCTTCTTAGTACAGTGCTTTAACCCACTGCGCCACCAGGGAGGGCCATTACGTTGTTTTAAAGAGCCTGTTGGGAAGAACAGCACATCCACCAGATGGAACGTGTAGCTGGGATTGTTCCATGTTGCACGTTAGCCGCTGCCGCCTCACTCCCTGGGCTGCCACTGAGTAGACGTTCTCTGTGGTTACCCAGCGTAAGGGCGAGAAGGGGGACTAGGGAGGGAAGTGCGTCTGGCTCCGCAGTCTTTTTACCTTTAGCATGGAGAGACTCCCGGGCCTGTTCTGAAAACATTCTACCTGCCGATGACGAGCTTGCTTTTCAGGTTTCTGAGGTCCCCAGTAGAGGGACAGGTCACTAGAGGGAGGTAGAGTGTGACAGCAGTTGTGGTTCGCAGGAGAAGATGAGGGCAAAAAGTCTCCGATTCACAAAGGTAGGATAATGCTTTGTGAATTACACTGTTGTTAAGTGTAATCTTGGTAAGAATTTAGGAAGCAGAGGGAAACTTGAAGGTAACTTGCATGAGAACTCTAGAGAGCACTTCAGTTGACATTTTGATGCTTTCCTAGTCATTAAAATTTTATTTTAACATATGCTGTTGTTTATTGTGCTCAGCTACAGAAGAAAGGAGTGTAATGAAATTAAGTAATTTAAATTTACATTCTTTCTGCCAAGTCATAGTCGGGAAATCTGCCGCAGCCCACACAGCTGTGCTACACAGCAGTTACCGGTGTCAGGTTGCCAGACAGGATGTATATAGGACATCGGTGAGAGCCGACTTCAGGGGAGCCGGGGACACGTTCGGGCGTGAGCACATTGCGCAGGACACGCGTCTGTTCGTCCCCCTACTGGCACGCGCTCGTGCAGCTTCAGTGGGGATCAAGTTGTCTCTCTTCCTTTCTAACAGTGAGTACTCCCACTGCCAAACGGTTCCAAAGAACTTGAGATTTTGACGCCAACAGGCATAAGATCAAAGTTATTTAGGGCCAAGTTACCTCTCCAAGGTGGCACCCCTGCCCTTTCTCTGTACACTGTGGTCCTTCCTTGTGTTTCCTCAGGCGGGGGCCACGTCTATGTGGGCGTCGTGCTGTGGGCTGCTGAATGAAGTCATGGGAACCGGAGCCGTCAGGGGCCAGCAGTCAGGATTTGCAGGAGGCACGGGGCCATTCAGATTCACACCAAACTCCGACTTTGCCACTTACCCGCCAGCGCCTACAGAAGGGCCCAATATAGTTTGCAAAGCCTGTGGACTTTCGTTTTCAGTCTTTAGGAAAAAGGTGAGTTGGCTGGAACATCACATACAAAAGACGCTGGTGAATCTGGGGCTGGACATTATTTTGAATACTGATGAACCATTTCTTTCTTAAAATTTTGTAAAAAGCTAGTCCAGTTAGCCATCTCCCTGCTGGCTCTCTGACTAGACACTGACTCGCAAGCGGCACAGCTTTCTCCTCTGACCAGCTTTCATCCTCTGGTGATGCTGAGGTCTTGAAGCAAGAAATCTAATTGGTCTATAACTCTGAGAGGATTTGCTGTAACTCTGGTCCCGGGTTTACAGAAATGTAACCCTACCCACATTTGTAATTCAAGTGAGCATAGGAGTGTAGCTGAGGTAATTACCGTATGGGGATTTGACACAAAGCACTTGAGCTAAAGCAGCTTTCTCTGGGCCAGATCGGGGCTCTGAGAGCCACCCTGTTTGAGGCCATGCTAGTCCCTGACCATCAGATCGGGCCTTCAGAACACTTGGAGCAAGGCAGTAGCTCGTGGGGGTGACGGAGCGAGCAGAAGCAACCTCTTCGGATTTTGCCAGCGGAGTGAGGTTAAGCTGACAGAGGCTCCTCAGGCAAGGGCCGCCGGGCGGCACCTGCGGGCTCGGGTCGGCCAGACAGCGCAGGTGCGCACTGAGTTGTGCTCACGCTGCGTGAGCAGAGCGCCTGGCGGTGGTGCTTGCCTCCATGCGCTGCCGCCAGCTCTGCTTCACTAATTACATGTTTGCAAGCAAGGGGTGGAGGTTTTAATTCGGTAACACGGGAGTGTTTTCTTCAAGGACTGCACCCGAACCTCCGGGAAACCAAACTGCCTCGCACTGCCTTCGGTCTTCCTGGTTCCCGGCACATGAGAACGCTCGCAAGCGCTGTCTGGTGCCCGGGAGACGGCATTCAGTAGAGGCGAAAGGAAGGCTGTGCGCCTGCCAGGCCCATGTGCGGCCAGTGGCGAACGGGTTTCTCTCTCCCCTCAGCACGTGTGCCGAGACTGCAAGAAAGGCTTCTGCTCTGTGTGCTCGGTCCCACAAGAAAACCTCCGCAGATGCGCCACATGCCACTTGCTGCAGGAGACAGCCTTTCAGCGCCCCCGGCTAATGCGGCTAAAAGTGAAGGACCTGCGCCAGTATCTTCTCCTTAGGGACATACCGACCGACACGTGTCGGGAGAAGGCGGACTTGGTAGACCTGGTGCTGTGCCACCACGGGCTGGGCCCCGAGGACGACGGGGACACCAGCAGCCTGAGCTCCTCTAGGTCCCAGACATCCAGCTTTTTCACACACTCCTTTTTTTCAAACTACACAGCGCCCGCAGCTACCATGTCTTCGCTCCAGGGAGAGCTGGTGGGTGGAGGCCGCACCTTCGGATCTGGAGCGCTGGCACAGGTACGAGCACCGCCCGGGGCCGGCTTGCCTGCTCCTGGCCAGGAGTGCCGGGGCCCAGGGCCTGATGACTCTGTGCAGGAGCAGACCCCACGCACTGCTGAACCCCGAGCTTGGTGGCTCAGTGCTCAGGTGCCAGGTGGCCCCAGACCCGGCGGGGTGAGGAACTCCAGAGTAGCTCCCCACTCTTAGTTTCTGTAGCCTACACGGAGACGCTGTTACGAGGACTGAAAAGTAGCACGTAAACTTACTTTGCAGTAGTTTGATGCTGTTATAGGCAGTGGTACTGCGTGTTGGTGACCGTGAAAATCACCTAGAGGTGACCCTGGTGCCACAGCAAAGCTGGAATTTCAGCCAACTGTTACCATCATCTCACCAGCAAAGGAATATGGCTGCTTACTAGTCAGCGAAATTAATTTATAGAACATTGTCCCAGTGATGTCTGGTCACCCTGACCAAGTGATCTGTTAAGGCTGGGCCACATGGGAGTGGTCTTAAGACGCTAGAAAAGTTGTTTTAAACAGTTCTCTCCATATTTAAACTCCCGAGGAAAGGGGTTATTAGAAGTAGGGGCAAGTTGGGTTAGCTGCTTTGCTGACAGTCGCAAAGCCAAGCTGAGTTTCACTGTTCTCCCAAGAGGCGTCATTAGGTGCAAACAAGACACAGCCCTGGCTTTTGCGCCAGCTCGCAGCTCACTCTTGGGCAGCTGCCACCAGGTGGGCGAGGATGAAGCCCTGTTTCCAGTGCGGTGCTTGTGTCGGTGGATTTACTGGGGAACTCCCGAGGTTGCAAGCAGACTGTCAGGTCATCAGTCGCCAAAACAGCCAAGATAGAAAGATGCAATTTAAAGAGATTTTTCTGGTTTTCCTAAAGCCTATCTGACTGTTAACACATTTCTGACACCTAGAACTAGCAATAGCCACCAGCAAACCCAGGAAGCACTGTGTGGAATTAGAATGTCTGAGTGATAAAGGATCGAGGTCTTTCGAGTCAAGTGTCTGACTCCTGGGCTGACCTTAGTCCAGCTTAGTTTCCAGCTGCAACTTTAGAGGCTCTGGTTAAAGCCTTTATCTGCAGCTCCTCTGAGTGACACTGCACGCACCACACGTGCGGCTTTGGCCTCCCACCCCAGTACCCTGCTCACACGTGTAGACCGGCGAGGACTGCCCTGTGAGTTAACCCGGCGGAGGTAGCTTGTCTATCGCCCAGAGCCTCTAACTCGGGAGGGGAAGCAGCATGCTGGGTCCAGAGAGTCGCAGTTTGCGGGCTGCTGGGGAGTGTCTCGGGGGGACCCGCAGAAAGGTTCGCTCACGGTGAGTGTGCATGGTTACCTGAGCAGATCCATCCTGCGTGTAGGTACAAAGTGAGATAGCTTCAGCAAACATAGAAGATGACGACGACGACGACGATGATGATGACGATGATGAAAACTTAGAGGATCAGGTAAGATCTTGCGGAAGGGCCCCTGGGGGCGCAGGGCTTAAGTCTCAGCACTGTGAAGCTGTGAGTCCAGCCCCGACCAGGGAGTGACCCCAGGGTGCATCAGGCCCCACCTGCCTCCCACTGCCTCCCTCAGCAGTGGGTTTCAGTGAATCTGCCAGTTCTGTGCCCCGCTTGGTCTCTGGGGCATCCTCTCACCCCCTGCACCCCAGTTCTTGAGTGCATAAATAAAATACATCTAAAAAAAATTGTGTGTAAAACTTGGGTTCCCTGACAGGCTGGCTGTCAGGGAGGAAAAACGCCTGTGTGGACTTTGCTAGGCTAGCACAGGAAGGCGTTTGAACGTTCAAATGTAGAATACTACGTAAAGCATTTCAAGGACTGGTAGTCTGGGGAGGGCATTGGGCCACGGGGGCTGGAGGGCGAGGAGAGCATATGCACTGCTCGCGGCGGCAGGCCTGGGTCTGAAGAGAGGTAATGCAAGCTCTGCTTTTAGGGGCCTGGCCTCTCTAAGAAGAGAGTAAGAGCTTCGCTGTCTGACCTGTCAAGTCTCGAAGATGTGGAAGGGATGAGCGTGCGCCAGCTGAAGGAAATCCTGGCACGGAATTTTGTCAACTATTCTGGCTGTTGTGAAAAGTGGGAGCTGGTAGAGAAAGTAAACCGGTTATACAAAGAGAATGAAGAAAACCAAAAGTCATGTAGGTCCTTCTTTTTCCTTCCCTAGAGTCTCCTAATAGCTCAAATGAAATTCTTTGGGTCTCTAAAAATGCTTCAGATTTAAAGGCTACAAGTGAGATAACCAGATAGGGGGATTCTGTGGAGCCAAAGTGTTGAACAGCCCAAAGCCTGCCGTGCATGCTGGGAAAGCTCAGCTCAGGACTTTGGGTCGGGACGCATGACGCAGAACGCCTCACGGGGCAAGCCCGAGGGCATTCTGAGGAGAGGGAAACAAACGCGGGGTGTTAAGTCAGCCTGTGGTGGTCTCAGTTCTTAGCTGGACTTCAGGACTCTTGTGATTAGCTTTTGCCACGTTGGGTTTCTTAAAAGCTGGGTGGAGTTCCAGCTTTCTGTGGGAACAGTAGGCCCAAGGTACCCTGGCACACCTTCCCAGAGGGTGCCACAGTGGCAGATACAGGAAGGCCCGTCATCGGGTTCCACACCGACCCTGGGAGCTGAGAAATGACATCCTGGCCGTGAGGGGGCAGCTCGCCTGTCAGCGCAGATGCCATGGTGGACAGTGGCTGCAGTGAACACTGCCCCTCAGGCTGAGTGCAGCTACCTCGCCTTCTGCCAGGGCCCTTCAGTCAGCTCGCTGCCCAGTCGACCTCGTCGAGTCTTCGGGCTGGGGGAATGCGTGCTCTGGTTCACAGCACAACTAGTCTTTCCGAGTCACTGGCTTCACCGCCCAACCAGGCTCACCCCAGTGTCTTTACCTAACAGCCTGACGTACTCTAGCTGCACAGAATTGCAGAAAGGAACCTTCTCTGCAGGCAAGGAGACTGAATCCAGGTTCAGGCATCCAGTGTCTCACTGCGGCCCACCTGCCGCCTTCCCTACTTGCCCTGCTCCGCAGTGTGGCATGGGCTACGGGCCTTCTGAAGCCCCAGGCTACAGGAGTCTCCTGACGTGGAAGCCTGTCTAAGTTCAGGGTCTACGTGGCCCTTCAAGCCCAAATTCCTGTTCTCTGAGAGGCCGAGTGACTTCTCCCTCTCCAGGTAGTCTCGCGGGGTCCATGGGTTACGCAGGATAGATGGCTCGAGATGCTGTCCAGGCCGGGGCGCCACCCCACAACTGACTCTGAGTGTGGAGTGAAGCAGTCCCCGTGGCCCACATGCAGGCAGCCTCGGTCACTCTTCCCAGGAGGTTGCATCCTCGTCACCGGTGAGCAGCACCACATTGCTGCTCCGGGGGGCACAAACGGGCCTGCGCGCAGTCGCAGCTTGTCCCACAGCCCCGTTTTCTTGCAGATGGTGAGCGGCTGCAGCTGCAGGACGAGGAGGACGACAGCCTCTGCCGCATCTGCATGGACGCGGTCATCGACTGTGTGCTGCTCGAGTGCGGGCACATGGTCGCCTGCACCAAGTGCGGCAAGCGCATGAGTGAGTGCCCCATCTGCCGCCAGTATGTGGTGCGCGCTGTGCACGTGTTCAAGTCCTGAAGCAGTCGCCAAAAGCACCGCCCAGCTGGCACCCAGACATGGCGGTGCACCAGGGCCAGAAGAGGACCACTCGGCGGCCTGAGCGGCTTTTTAAGAGTCCTTTCCACTACTAACTGGGGGCCGAGAGGTCCACCCATGTTCCAGTAACTCGGGGCCACGCCACGCGCCCGTGCACCTCGGGGCCTCAGGCTCCACACACCGTGACCACTCGCTGCCAAAGCCAGGCTACTCGTGGCACCTGCTACCGCTCACGGGCGGATGCGCTCCATTCACCTACGTTTCCTTTGCCCTGTTTTTAACTTAAGCTACTTGGAGTTTGAAGCTTGTGTCTTTGGGATTAGGTAGGTCATTGTCCACAAGCGGCCGGCATGGCACGTGCTGAAGTGGCCCCTCAAGGTTCACTTGACTCAGACGAGTGAGTTTCTGCTGTTGCTCTGTTTGGTGTCCCTGGGAACTGACCTGTTCAGCTGCCAGGGCCTTGGCCTGAACTCGTCCACGTCTGTTCACGCACAGCTTTCGCAGCAAGGGCTGCATCGCACTGCTTTCACTACAGTACGTGTGTTAAATTCTTTATCAGCGTGTAACCAGTTTACACTGTTTTGTATAGTGAAAGTGTATTTTCAGTGCTACCTGCTGGCTGATTTGATCTTTAGGAATAAAATTAGAGTTAACTGCTTTTGTCTGCCTTATCCCGGTCAGTTCCAACCTCAGCGCTACATCTTGAACGAGCGTGTGTGGTTCCCGCTCCCTCCTTCAGGGCGGCCGCGGGCTGAGCGGTGGCTGCGACTTCCCAGCAGTTCGCTCTGTGCCCCATGGCGACCGGTTCTGTGCGCTGCCTCCGCCAGCCTGGCACCCGGAGGTGACGCCTCATTCCAGATGCGGGGCCTGGCTGAGAAGTTAGTTCCAAAGTGGCCACATTGGAACCTAGTTCTGATTTTAAGTGTTTTGACTCTTTAGCATTGTAGAGCCAATGAGCCATGCAGGACGAGCTCCCAGCACTCGACTGACCTCCTGGCTGCAGCAGGTCACAAGTGGTGGTCAGGGCCCGGGGAGGCAGCCGCGCTTGGGTGGCAGGCAGTGTGGCAGACCAGACTGGGCTCCAGCCTGTCCTGGGCCTGGGCTGCTCACTGCAGCGTGGTCGGCCAGGTCTTGGCCTCCATGGACGCGCAGGGCCTGGCCGCACCAGAGTGTCTGCTGCACCCGGCTCCTCTGTGCATGCTGAACCAGTTGGCCCCACAGCTACTGGCTGTGTGCAGGGACGTCCCGGTGCAGGCCAGCAGAAAGGGCCCAGCACACTGAGGAGCTAGGCAGTGGGCTGGGTCTGCCTAAAGCAGAGAAGGCTGACGCACCCTTGTGTGGTCTCGGCGTAGCACGGGTTGCATTCCCCTTGGGGTTTGTGTAAACGCACCTGGCGACGGCCCCGACGTGACGACGTTGCCTGGCAGCATCTGACGTGACCAAGGTTTAGTGGCAGCCAGCAAGTTTAGTCTGGCAGACTGGACTTAACATAACTGGCCCAAAGGCACTAGCCTGCTTGCTACTGACATTTCCCCGCGGACCCACCTGGTGTTCAGACCCCTACCAGAGACCTCTCAGGACCAGACGCTGGAGGCCACAGTTGTCGACACTCCAAAGACATGTCCTGTCCTCAACACAAAGGATGTCGCCTGAAGCCTGGGCTGTAAGGTGTCCTCACCGTCAATACTACGTTTCCAAGAAAGGGGAGGCGGGCCTGGGGAGGGCAGTTGAGGCCTAGCACGGACCGTGCTCCCCAGCTTTACAGCCATCATGAGAGCGTGTGCACTGCGGGGCTTGGAAGTAGTTTGCCGCAGCGGGCTCAGGCTGGCCTCACAAGGCTGGTGGGGCCCGGGGGGTGTCTGAGACCACAGCCCTGCTGGGCCTGCCTCTGGGAAACACTCCCCGGGGAGCCTGGCTACCCCGCTTCCCCTCCTCTGTGCTCTGGGAAACATGGTGGGTGGCTGGGCCCCTACCCTGAGAACTGGGGCACCCGGACCCACTGCTGCCTCAGCACTCCCGAGCAAGGCTGATGTGACCGGCTATGGGTAACTCTCCCTGGGAAGCTTGGAAAACACAGGCCGCCGAGACCAGGACTTTGGCTCCTGGGGTGCTCCACGACCAGGAAGCAGGCCAGAGTGGCCTGGCCCCCACAGGCCAGCCACAGCGAAGCCAGGTCTGCCTCCACAGCACCTCCCGAGTCTGACTTGAGGCCCACCCAGTTGCCTGAGCCTCTCCAGCTGGGGTCCGGAAGGACCGCTGGATGGGTGGGGTCTCGGACCTGAAGCCTTCACTGTGCGCAAGTACCAAGGCACTGGGGGGCCGCTTGCAGCAAACAGCCGGCAGGTTGCCCCTCCAGTTCTCCAAAACAGTCGTTCTGCAGGAGGTGCAGGTGGTCACAAGAAATTCTCCCCTCCAAAACTACACCTGACTGGAGTCTGGGTCATCCCCAGGAGACGGTGCCTCGGTCAGCCTGGCCCAAGACCGCACCACACAGCCCGTAGCCGCCCTGAGCGGGCGGTGAGGAGATGGAGCCCCACCTTCAGGAAACGCCAAGTGGCCGATGGGCGGTCACGGGCAACCAAGCAGGCAGGCCACCTGCCCTTGAAGAAAGTTAACAGCCAGTTGCCAAGCGCGTCCACCGCTGAGGCCCAGTTCACCCACAGACAGACCTTTCTGAAGATGGGCAGACCAGCAGGCCTCCACAGCTCTCACGTGAAGAGGAGCCACAGCACCTCTTGCCCCAAAACCTGACAGCACGTGGCGCCAACTGCCTCCTCCGTTCCGGACTCCTCGTTCCCTCCCAGGACAGAAACCCTCAAATCCAAGAGTGATTTCTTTTTTTGTACAATTGTTTATACAAATTCAACAAAGGTAAAACCACGTCGGGGAAGATCTAGGAAAACAACACCTCACAATGGCACTTATGAATGCGGAACGTCACACTAGGAAACAGCCACATGGCAGGCCTGCATGGGGCTGCACACACCCCCAGAAGAGGAACAGAAAAGGCTGCGCCGGGTCACTGCCTGCCTGTGACTCGCTGTGCAGAGTGCGGAGCCCGGGCTGGGGCGCGGCCCTCCTGAGTGCCGGGACTGCGTCTGAATGGTCAAAGTGAGGAAAGGTGAACTCTACCCGGAGGGAAGCTGGCCGGCATCTCTCCCTGACCACCACTTAGTATTCCACATGCTTAGGTGACTTGGTGACGGACAAAGCAGGCTGGCGGCTTCCGGCTAAACATGCTGTGCCCCAAAGGCCGAGCCTGCTCTGTCAGACCTGGGCACTGTGTCAATGAAGCCCAGGTCCCCATCTCTCCCCTCAAGGAAATCAGGAAAGTTGGCAACTTCAAAACAATAAAAACACTGGTATGCTCCAAACCCTGCATAAATAACGTTTTAAACAATTTGTACAAAAATAGTTCTGCATCATGTAAGATGTAACAAAACCAAACCAAAGAAAAATAGTCGCCAAGGGCAGCAGATGTGTGCGGTCTGCCGTGTGTCGGCACCGAAAACCCAAGTCAAGGAATGAGGTGTCCAAACCAAAATGCCACCGCCCACGAAACCCCCCCCCACCCCCGGCTCGGCTGCGGCCAGAGGCTCCCGCGTCCGCCGTCCTCTCCAGCAGGAATGTTCTTGTCAACGCCTCTTAGCAACGGTCCGTCCAGAAAGCAGCGCGGCTGCGACTGAGGACACGCAGGGGGGTGCCACAGCACTGTCCCTGGAGGGGAGGGGGGGCTTCTCCCCTGCAGCCGCGCACCCTGACCCGCTCTGTGGTCTCTTGTTCCACGCCCAGACAGAAAGGAAAGCCCCCGCTGTGGTGACGACCCGCTGCCACGTCACCCCCCGCCCCAGGATGCGCACACGGATTCTGGGACTAGCTCAGTTTCTGCAGGAGTTTCTCTTCCACTTGTCCAAACTGGACGCTCACAGACATCTCGGCTATGAACTGCTCACAGCCTTCCCTGGTGACTTGCTTGCAGTACCTCAGGTCTATGTGACAGATGTTGCCGCAGCGTTTGAAGAAGGACAGGCACTGGTCAGTGACCTTATTGCAGTCTGCAGGAGAGAGCGCACTGTGAGGGGGCGCAAGGCGGCGGGGAATGGCCCTCCATCAGACACTTACGCGCACACGCAAAGCTCCAGCTGTCCCCAGGAACCTGCGTGCCGGTGTGCTCGGGCTGTCAGACCCCACCGCCGCACCAGAGGCAGGGGCAGCGCCTCTCTGCCCCACCAACGGTCTCGCAGACACAGAGCTGCAGTGCAGCACGCTACAACACCTGCAGGCCTCCCCAGGGCCCTGCTGGGGCAGCCGCACAGCCCAAGGCACTGCCCAGGAACCCCACAGAGGCCCCCACCCTGCTGAGTCTTATCCCTCCCTGGACAGCTCTCCCCTCCGGGTAGGAACCCATCAGCCTGCACTTCCTAAGGGCGGCCTGCGTACGCGCAGGCGCCTGCCCATGCTCCACCGGCGAGGCCACGCAGACAGGACAGGACAGGAGGTGGCCAGGGCAGAGTGGCCCACCCTCGCTGCTGCCCCAAGTCGCCCCCATCAAGTCTGCTGAGCACGGTCTCGCGCCCCAACACCCAGACAAAGGCCTCAGCGACACGAGGGGAACCTGATCCTTGGGAGCTCGGGGTGCCCGGGACACTGCAGAGCCGCTGCACAGCTACAACTGTTTTCCAGAAGGACCCCCCCATCGAGCCCTCACATACTGCCCCCACATGGGTGACCCTCTCCTCAGCTTGCTGCAAAGGGGATTGCGCCACGCCGCCCTCCAGCACCTGCAGGAAGCCCCCGCCTACATGGGCCCACCCTGCCCCGCCTACTTCCGGGGAGAAGGCAGCCCCGCGGCTCAGTGCCAGCCTGGGCCAGCGGCTGCAACCCTGGCACGCAGGACTGGCCAGCGGTGGGAGACCCAGTATCTGCTTCACAAGCACACTGTCTCCCAGGTCACCAGGAGACCAAAACAGCCCCCCAAAAGGCCCCCGGTTCCAGGAGCTTTGAAGCAGGGACCAGAGAGGACTCGGGCTGAGAACCTCACACTACCCCAGTGGGGTCAGTGATGGCGCCAAAGACGCCTGAGAAGAGGAGGCAGCCGGGCCTCAGCCCAGAGCCCAGTGGCGGCAACGGCCACTCGCCTGCTGCCAGTGCTGGTCTCTGCCTGCTCTAGCTGTGGTCATGAGGAAGCCGACTGGACCCAGGTGGACCCAGGGCAAGGGCAGCTGCGGCAGCTCCCGGTGCACTCTGCCAATGGCAGGTGCCGGCACCCGCACGGACAGACGGAGCCCACAGCTACCGCCACGAAGCCCCCACACGGCCCTGAGCCAGCGGGCAGCAGGGATGCGGGGCGGCCAGTGCTGACCTGCCACAGTCCGGGGTCCTCGCCAGACCGTGCTTCGGCGCTCAGTGAGCGACCTGGCAGGTGGGCTCTGGGGCAATAACAAGGTTTCCACTTTCCACTTGTGTTTTTCTTTGGCATAGAACTGGGGCGTAGGCCAGAGGTGTGGGGGTAAGAGAGTGCCCCAGAGACACAGTGGGGAGCAGAACAGGCGGGTCCCCTGCACCCTGGGGTCCCTCCCTGGCCAGGGATGCACTGGGCCAAAGTGTGGAGCCTGGAACTGACCCTCAGCCAGCAGGAGCCGCTCTGCCTCCAACTGT